TTTTTAATAGAGAAGATATTTCCTTAACTTACCTATTGTTTTCCCTAAGATACAGTCTGTACTGGAAAGACAGAAGAAATACTTTAGTTTCTGTTTTGTTTGCCAGTTTTCAAAGTGACAAGTTGGCACCTTGCCAAATTCCAATTATAAAAGCTGGTCTTAGCTTTTTAAGACTTAGCGAACAATTGGATTGTTAAATATTGTGTGTATTTCTAATAATTATGACCATTATTTTTTGCAAAGTCTATCTGTGACCGGGGGACTCCTCAGAGCTGGTGTTCACTTGACCCATCTATCTTCAACAGCTTCTTTGGTTTTCTAGCAGAACGTAACACACTTTTTTCTTGTGCACCTCACCCTCTGGACAGGAATTTGCTGCTTCTCTCAATGGTTCTGAATGTGTACAGAGAGAAACTTTATTCAAGAGCAGGAGCCAAGAACCTAGTGTTGCTCATTGCTACTGGATCTCAGTGCAGTCTCAGGGGAGAGTATTCAATGTGTACCAGTTTTGTTAAGGGACAGAAGGTCATGATTTATACGAATGGTTCCAATTCCAACTTAAGACATCTGAATTTTAATGTCATTTAAAATTTTTATTTGAATTTATTTTCTGCAGAAAAATCTTCGTTCTTGTGAGGATTTCTCTCCCCCTTAATTTTCATCTTCATGCAAGAACCTCCATGCAAGAACAATGCAGAGCACAAGCACAAGCACACCCTCCTCTGAGACACCAACCTTCATTGCTCTGTGACATTTATTTGCATCGTGCTGGGGAGGGAGTGTGAGTATCCTGACATTTAGCGCTTTCAATACAGTCTCTTCAGAACTGAGCATTCTCTAGCCAAACTGCAATGAGCTTGGGCCTGTATCTAGAGTTAAGGCAATGTTAGCAATAGAGCAAATAAATCCTCCAAGTTTAATGATTTAAAGCACCCCCCCATCACAGCTCACTAAGGATCACTCTGGTAATTAGGAAGCTTGTTTTTCCTTCTTATCACTATTTAGGATGCAGACTTTGTTTGCTGACAGTTCTGTCATTCTCTGTGTCATAGGAAACTATTCATCAAACTCCAGCAAGGAAAATGAGAAAGAGGCCTACATTTGCTCTTGCTGGGAGGGACACACATCAGTTCTGCTCACTTTCTATTGGAGGAAGAGCAGCCCACAGTTGAACTGAACTGAAGGGGCCATCTCTGCAGTTTAGTTCCTATTAATAAATATGCTCTAGGAAAGATGAGGCAGCTAGCTGCCTATGGCTACACAGTGCAATGTTTTTAATCAATTCCTGTTTTTAATCATTTTTTAAATCAGTTCCTCCTCAATTTGGGGGAAGGGCATCCTCTAGACAATTCCTTAGTGACAGTATGTAGTAATACCAAACACTTCTAGTCCTTTTGTGCTGGAAAATATCCAGTTTTGCACTTATATGACTGATTTATTGGCTCACATGGATTCTAACTTCAACATCATTTTCCTTGAGAAAATTTAATGTATTTAGCTGCGATCATTTGGAAATCATTCTTGCAAAAGAGAAGCCTGATTCCAAAATGATTTATGTGCCTTGGTGGAACATCCTATATTTTCTTCCTCTCTAGAAACTTTAAGGTCTTCCCTTTTTAATACAGGTCTTTAAATTTTGCGAAGATGTACCTAAATGTTATTCTTTGTTCATGTCAGTGCCTACCACGGCATCTGATAGAATTTTTAAATTGAGAAATTACGTTTCTTTATCTTTGGGAAAATTTATTTCATATTTCTCTGATAATTAATTCTAGTAATTTTATTCTGTTTTCTTTCTGTAACTCCTTTAATGAGAGAACATGTAGACTATCTCATCAATGTCTTACCTTTTTTTCACCTTTTTTTTTTTTGGTACTGGGGATTGAACTCTTGTCCTTGCGCTTGCAGGGCAGGCCACCGAACCGCTGAGCTAAATGCCCGCCCCATTTTCATCTTTTGATCTTTTTTGCACTCACTTAAATTCATTATTTAAGGTTTTATTTGAAATTTTTAATTTTTTTAATAGTTCTGAAATGGCTAATACCTTCTTCTAAGCTGAAATTTTCTTTTATTTTTGCCTATGGATGACTTTTTCAGAGGGGACTTGTGTTCGTGTAATGTGTCTTCCTCCATCATACCCTGGGTTTCCCTGCTGTCTTATTATTCTTGGTTGTATATTTACACTGAAGGATAAAGATCCACACTGTGTTCTAGACAGGCAGGCTGTGCCTCGTAAACCATTTTATTGGAACGTCTGTTTTTGTGATAAGCTTTTCTTTGAAAGGCAAAACCGATTGTGGGTTTGTACATGGAGTGATAATGCTGGTGAGAAATTTTTATTTACCAGCATGGCAGGTGGGGCCTGCTCACTAGGATGTGTACCTTCTGGGTGTTCTTGATCTGCTAAAGTTAGATTTGTCAACTTGGCTGGTCTATGAAGCCATATTATTGTGCAAACATTATTTTGGATGTTTCTGATAAAGTGTGCTTTGGATAAGGTTGATATTTGTTTTGTACTTTTTTCCTGTCATGGTGATTCTTTTGGTTCCACAAGGGGGCAGAGAGATTTATTACCCTCAGGGGTCAGAGTCAGGAGGCCTGGAGGTCATGCAATGCTGCATGGGTTAGCAACAGTGGTCAGGAAACAGAAATCCAGAGCTAGTGTTTGAGGGGACTGGAGCCTCTGTTGGGATTTCCTCAGGAAGGCAGGTTGACCGGTTTAGAACAGAATGGTTTGGATCTTCTATGTGGACTTTGGCCTATCAAATGCTCCCTCGTTCTCTTGCACTTGGACCTGGATGATTAAGGCAGAGGAACGTTGTCTCCAGATGGTACAGACTCCAGAGAGCTGGTCAGCCTGGCCTGCAGAGACTGTGTGTCTCAGGTGTGGTTCTCTAAGAGCTGGCTGGCCCTGGGAAACCCATATTCTCCCCAGTCAGATCAGTTATTCTTTTCTTTTTGTGATGTCAAAACATCGTAAAGTGAATGAAATAAAGTATGTGCAATTACATTGGTAGAGAGGTTGTGAAGCAGATTATACTTCACGATGTGGGTGGACAATCATATGAAGAATGTGATAATGCAAAAACTGATTTCTTTGAAGGGAAAAGAAAAAATATGGAAAAGAAATAAATGGAAACAAAGTCTTTGTAAATAGGGAAGGGTGGTGGGGATGAAGGAGTTCACGGGAATGGGGAAAAAACAACCAAGGTACATCACGTAAAGGTACAAGACCCCAACGATAAATGTAACTGTACTGTAGGCCTAAAAAGTACCAATAAACTTAATGGGAAAGAAACTGGTTTCTTTGTAGAGAATGAATCCTGCTAGCAGAGTACCCTTGCAGTCAAACTGCACTTCTTTCCGGAGTCTCCAGCCTGCCAACCTCACTGTTACATTTTCAGCCTTTCAGTCCTCTTCAGGCCTTTGAGGCAATTCCTTGAAGTTGGTCTATTTCCGTGTTTCTAAATTTCTGATGTAATCTGCTTCACTTTTGTTTTTAAAAGCTTCCCTTTGCCTCCACCTCTCTGAATATGCCATGGATTACTATGGCATGCATAAAAAACATAGTCTCTTTGTAATGTTTTGCTATTTCCAAATAAAGACCTGTATTCTTTGGAGATTTTCTTTCTCTCTCATTTTTTATTTTTACTTGTGTTGGCATTTGTATAGCAGAAAAGTTCTGAGTCAGATTGGGAAAGACAGTTCTTGATTTAGAAAAGCAAGAGAGCTACGGGTCCTTAGTCCATCACTGGATGTTAGCCAACCGTAGACTCAGCCTGTGAACTGGGGCATGGTGACATTCTCTGAGAAGAACAGTGTTGTATTACTGAGCAGTTACACTGCTGCTCATTTTCTTTTGACCATGGTGACCTGGCCATTTGCTGACTCACAAGGCCTTAGACTTGAGTGTGTACAGAAAACGCCATAGTCACAAGTTGTATAAATGTGGTCCTGAAGGCCAAGGAACCTATGGGCAGAAAAGACAGAAATACTGTGGTCTCTCCTCCTGCCATCTGAACTTTCTTCTCAGAGCAGGCTGGCTCTGCACTGAGCCTTAGGTTTTCAACACAAGAAAGCGCCTGGACACATGCAATGAAACCGCTCAGGTCTGAAGTACCCAGTGTGCCTGGGCAGAGCCAGTGCCTGTCACGGATGCCGGCACCTTTTCCTTGTGGGGAGCGAGTAATGCAGCACATCCATCGCTGGTGTTGCTGATGTGTGCTTATGACAGGCAATCTTCACTTATGCTTTTAACTGATAGAAGTGGAGGCTGAAATTGCTGTCACAGGCTAAGCAGATGACGACAACTGCTTTGTGTGCTTCGTCATTCAGAGCATTAATAGATTTGTTGGACAAAGGGAGGTGACCAGTGACCAGTTGTCCTCTCCCCAGCGCTGCCCAGCAGTAGGCAGGACTGACGGCACACATGGCTGAGTCATCATCATGCCTTGTGATATGTGGTTAGGTTTTGTAATGGTGGTGGAGTGCAGACTGCTGATCTCTTTTGGGATAGGGTCTCTTTCTGTGTTCCAGGCGGAACTTGAACTTGCTATGTGGCACCAAGTGGCCTCAGACCCATGATCCCCCTGTATCAGCCTCCAGAGTAATGGGGCTACAGGCGTGTCCACTATGCCTGGGATCAGATGCTTTCAGTGGTCACAGAAGAGGTTCTCACTGCTAAGGTGAAGCCACCCATGACCCTATGGAAGGGGGAAGAAGGGGCTACAGTCTTGGCTCTGCAGATGGACCCTGGGTCCACCTCTGCCAGGCCCTGTCAGGCCCTGCCGCTGTGTCCACTGAGTTTAGTGCATAGCCTTGATCTTAAGGGGACGCTCAGCAGCGCTCGCTTATTTGGCTGATGGTGAGAGCAGGCAAAAGTGACAGCCCCTACACCTGGCCATCTTTCCTCTGGACAAGGCAAATGCTGCATCTGGGCCTGTCTCTCCTTCTAACCCCACATTATCGTAACCTTTTCCAAGTGGAGACACAATACTTAGTTTGGTACAAGAAGGTGCTTCCCCAACACGCTTTTCTTTATTAAAACAAGCATTTAAAACCCTCCAGCTGGCTTCTGTGCTCTCTCCGCCTGCTCCGGCTCAGGCGCAGCACTTGGCTTTCCCTTTGTAGCAGGTGCCGATGATGCTGGAGTACATGGGGCAAGAGGAGTAGAGACAGAATCCCCCATTCTTCACACACTGGTAATGGTCTGGTCTGTGGCCAAGACTCGTGAGCCCTCGCCCTGCAAGGAGGAAACAGAAGCGGTTCAGACTCCCGGCTTGGAGCTGCAATGACTCTGGAACATTTGGGGAAGGGAGGACAGACAACAGGCAACACACATGAGAGAATCTTCTCTTACAAAGAGATTGTGCATAATTGATGTTTGGGCTGTTAATAAAATTAGACCCTGCAAGAGTTCCCTTGCCAAGGGAGAACTGCAGGGTCTGATGGGATTTTCTTTTACTCAGAACCTTTAAGATATGCAGAGAACTAAAGTCACTCTCCACATAAGTCTTCTACTCTACCTCACCTTCCTCCAAATTCATGTCTTCTGTTTTCCAAATGCCAAAGTAGTTGCTTGGCCATAGATGTCCTACACATTCCCACCTCAGTGACTTCAGTCATACAGATCCCTCTGACTTAATCCCAGCTCCTGTGCCTTCTACACCACAGTTTCTGCTGAACCCTATGGTCCTTTACTGTCAGGATGAAATTACGGTTCCTCTACAAAGATTTCGTAGGTTTCTTCACTTGGAACTTATTCTGTGTTCTGCCTGGTGTCAGAGAGTCTCATAATTAGAAGACCTGATAGACCAGTCTTCTATGTATCCAGTAGGGAGCAAAGTCACTCTCTGATGCGCCCCGTGGGTGACCATCAAGCTACTGTACTGCCAGCTTTACTTGTTGCTTGGTGTAAGCTGAGTCCCTACCCCTCAAAATCCCTAGATCGAAGCCCTACCCCCACTATCTCACAATGACACAGGCTTTGGGGCTGGGGCCTTTGCAGGGTTCATTAAGGCCAAAGGATAGTTAGGGTAGGCTTATTTGGTGTGGCTGTTGTCCTTGTAAGAAGAGATGGCACACAGACCACTCACCCTAAGTGAGGATGCAGGAGAAGGTGTGTTCCCAAGCCAAGGAGAGAGGCCTCAGCAGAAGCCAACCTTGTTAGCCTCCGTGATCTCACACTTCCGGCCTGCAGAGCTTTGTGAGGAGATGTACTTGTGCTACTTATGGCCCCGGTCTGTAGGATTTTGTGCATAGTCTACTACAGTAGGTCATCACCATGCTAGGGACAGCACACTGTGACTTCTGTGTGCTTGTTGGAAAGATGCTCTTCATACTGACGCAGGCTGACCTTTCAGAGACTTTTATCCAGGGGTCCTTTTCCTGCTCTCTGTAGTTAGGTCTAATCATTATTTCATTTTTAGCAATTTTACTTTCTAAAGACTCTTTTCCCTCGCTTTTCTCAGTGCCTCATTTCAAGACCTTCCCAATTGTGTTCATGGTCCTTCAAATTTTGCAGGGGGGCTTTCTCAGGACTGAGGCCGGAGCGAGAGTGAAGCACCCAGGTTTTCTCAGTGACCTGGGGCAAAGGTGCTTCGTTTGTCTGGGTTTGCTTGTCGTAGAGCCATGTTGCTGGGCGTCGAACTGAGTAGCTCAGAGGCGCTGCTCACTTTAAATGCACTGGGATTTCAGAAGCCACATGTGGGTCTTGCTTCCTGCAGTGGGCAGTGAATGTGTAGAAAGCTTTCAGGACCACAGAATATTGGGGTGCACTGTGAGCCCATAGAGATGAAGGAGAACTGTCATTCGGTTCCCCTGTCTAATCCCTCACTCAGGGAAACACCTTGGGCCAAGGCTGCTCAGCTGCCCACATGGAACACAGTCTCCTGGTCCCAGCTCACGGGTTCCCGCACAGCACACTGAGTACACAGATGGCGTCCAGCCCTGCCCCGCGTCTTCATGACCCCGGCAGGATCCTAGCCAACCAGACTCTCTTGATGTGTCCAGTTCTGGCTTTTGTCTCTTTTTCCCAGAAGGCTTTCAGAGCAGGCTGGATTCTGAGGGAATGCTTGGTCCAAGCCCCTCCTTCCAAGGGATTACCTGCTGCTAGGAAGACATATGGAACCAAAGCTCTGACAGTTTCTATAAATCGGGAAGGTCTGGAACCTTTCCTGTTCTTTGTTTTCCTCAATACTGAAACAGCGTGTCTCTCTCCAGTGTATGTTCTCGGTCTCTCACTGTCGTGGGTAAGGTGAGGAGGCCCAAATAGAATTCAGCTTTTCAGGGCCAACATGGATGTCAGAGCTCATGTAATTATCTTCTCTTTCATTTGCACACCCCACCCCCAGATGGAGAAACGAGGTCCTGAGGTGTCCCCAGGGCATGCAGGCAGCCACAGGAAAGCCAGGAAAGGATGGGAGGAGCCAGCGCCCTCCTCAGTTCCCATCCCACCTCACCACAGCAGCTAGATAGAGTCAGGGCAGCTAATGAGAACTAACTCTGGGGATTAGCTTCAAGAGCCTAATACATTATCTGTACAAACAAAACAGTGATGAGTGTAATCCTCAGGTGCGTTAGCTGTGTTACCTGTCCCAGAGCTAACGTAGAGCGTGATTTGTTTATAGCGCTCACACCTGTCTGTGCCCAGCTTCTCCAATCTGAAGCTGAGGCGACTGCGGTGTCCCACCCTTAACCTTCTCAGCCTGGCCGTCTGCCCTTTGGCGAGTGACTCACACTCACAGGGGCACTTAATCCGCCAAGGAATACACTGCTTTTCCTTACCGGCAGGAAGACTGTGGGGCCTATGCAGTTGCATCAAAGAAAAACTGAGATGAATCTCATGTGTGATAAAGAAACTGCTGGGTCAGTGGTTTCCAGTTCTTGCAGGTGCCTAAGTCTCCCAGAAGGCGGTGAGAGCACAGCAGCCCCTCCCCGTGCCCTGAGTTTGTGAGGGCAGGGGTCCAGGATGGGATGGGCACTTTCGTTTCTGACAAGACCCTGCCTGAGCCTGAGGCTGCTGGGCAGGGAGCAAAGGGAGCCCCTGTGGAGAATGTCGGGGTCCCTCCTGTGTGAGCATCTGTGCTGCCTTCTGTGCACTGATGTCACCAAGCACCGGAGTTGTTCTTCTGGTGACATTTGCCATCTTTTGTGGCAGATTTGACCCAAGGCAATATGATATTAATATAGAAGCATCATACGGAAAGGCATAGTATGTCAGCCTCCTTATAAATCCAAGGAAACATGAGCATACGTCTCATCAAAGGGCAGAAATAATTTGAAATAAATTATCAGAGACCTAGAAAAGTGAAAATTCCACCTTTAAACATTTCAAGAATAAATTTCAAATGTCAATTTTCTCCAAGTTAATCTTCAGATTCAACACTGTACCTTAGAAATCTGAGGAGGTCCCTTCAGTGCTCCTTGACAGGCTAATGTGAAATCTGCTCAGAGTGTCCAAGGGCTATGCGTGGCCAAGACACTTTGGAGAAGAGGGTGGGAGGACTTGCTTTACAGGATTACTAATTACAGAGCCACTGCAGTCACGATGGTGTGGTGACAAAACAGGACAGACAGACACACACGTGATACAAGGAAGAGCAGATGGAGATCACTGTGTGGAGAACTGATGTAGGTCAGCAGTGGCCCAGGCACCGCCTCACCCCTGCGAGGGTCCGTGCTGTGCAGAGCGCCGAGGGTCGGTAACGCAGGGCCCCGGCCCGCTCCTCACCTGTCCCCAGGTCCCCGCCCCCTCTTGGTGCTTGTTCTCACCCTGGTCCTCGCTGAGCTGGACGGTGAGATCTTATCAGGAACCGTGACCCCGAGGAAGGGAGAGGAGGGAAGGGAGAGAGGAGCCGGGAAGCAGGACCGAGCGTCTCCACACTGGGCTGAGCGACTCCCCGGAACACAGGCCCATTAGGCCCGTTAGGCTGCATGGCTGTGATCCTGCTGCTGCCGCGTGACAGCAGCCACTCTCCGCTCAGGCGTGGGAAGAGGGGTTGGGTCAGTGAAGGGCATCGCGATCACGCAGCAGGAAGGACCTGGGACATAGGTGTCAGTGGCTCATTGAGGAGAGCAGGGCAGAGAGAAGAGAGTGGGTTGTAGCACTGAGCACACAGCAGGCTTGATTTTCATGGTTTGTAAAAGATCTGCATAAGGAGGAATCCATAGGGAACCTCGAGTCTCTGAGAAGAAACAGGATCAAGCAAAAGGGCATCGATCACGCAGCAGGAAGGACCTGGGACATAGGTGTCAGTGGCTCATTGAGGAGAGCAGGGCAGAGAGAAGAGAGTGGCGGGCAGCAGTGAAAAGAAGACAGGCTCGATTTTCACAGCACCGTCACGATGCAAACCCGCCCCATTGTGGGCCGAGAAGGACCTCCACGTCGCTGAGGTGCGATATGGCCTAACACAGGGCAGATGCTCGTGGCTCAAGGAGGAGCATCCAAGATGAGTAAAAGGATGAAGTTGCTTTGAAATCTTTTGTCTTTATCTTTTAAAAAGCCATGAAAATAAAGTTTCTTAAGAAGTCATTTTCGGTTGAGATACAGGAAGGGAAAGAACGTGAAGACCAAACGTGTGCCAGTGAGGCCATGGCTGTGGACCTCCTGATCTGTTTCTCTGCTTTCAACCGAACCTCAGCCTTTTGCTGGGTCCTGAGATCAGATCTGTGTAATGCAATTGCAACTCAGGGAAAACGTTGCTAGGAAAATTGGAAGCGCTGACTAAAAGGTAAGTATCTTGGACCAAACAAACTTCAGGAACGGGTTGCTGAGGACAAGGGTTTGGGAGAAGAGGATGGCTGAGCTGGGCCCCTCGGCCCCCCAAACCCTGGCCAGTCCACTGGAGCCTGCTGCTAGGCCAGCCTGGGGGTTGGTCCCAGGTTGCTGGTCCCAGGTCTAGATTTCCCAGCATTTGCTGCAGACTGTGCAAGTGTGGTGAGAAGGTCACGGTACTGGCCACGGGCACAGACCCCAGAGCGGTCTTGGATCGGGAGTATGCTCATCAGAGCCCTGTGGGCTGTGCTAAGTTAGCAAGAGTCCTGTCCCAGTCAGAGCAGGCCCATCGGTTCGTTGCCAGTCTGTGGGGCCGAGGGCTGAGCAGGTGGACACCTCCTGCTGTGGGCATTAACAAAAGGCTGATGCCACAGCTGCGGTAGAATAGCTTTGCTGATAGAAGGTCCCAGGGCCCCGCTTCCTCTCCTGCTCACCTCACATTTTCCTGTAATCAGCTCTACACAACCACTGAGTCCCTAGACAGACCATAGTCTTTACAAAGCCATCTTCCCTCCTTCCGCCTCCCAGCCAGAATCCCTGGGGCTCGCATCCTGCCCTCAGGGCCTGGGAGGGTTCCTGTTGCTCCTCCTTGGTTTCAGGCCAGGGTTGGAGCCCCTAAGCTGCCCATCATCAGTCACACATGGGGACGAGGGTTCTTTGTGCTCCTGAGAACGGTAGCTTTTGTCACTGCATCTCTGGCTGCCACACATGCTGTCTGCTACCTGCTCCCGCACACCCTGCTTTCTAAGGTCGGCTTTGTCCTCGCACAAATGCAGATGCCCAAGGCAGCCAGGCAGGCACAGCCCTGTGATAAGGGAAGTGAGGGCGGGTGACATGGGGTGCGGTGCCCGTCAGGAGGAGCTTAGGGTGATGGTCTCTGACCACAGGGAGGTGCTGGAGATGAAAATGAAATCTCGTGGTGTTGGGCGAGCTGTGTTTAGACTCTTGAGTTCAGATTGTAAGGGAGGAATGTCTCCCTGTTACTCAGTAAAGACCCACAAAATCAAAGCAGGAGTCAAACACAGAGCCTGGGCTCCCAGTGCCTGTCCTGTGTGCCATTATCCAGCCTTTGAAGAAAAAATTCATTGCAACTTATTAAGAGGGGGGGATTTCTCTCCCTCTGTGATGGGGCACAACGGGCAGCATGGAAAATTTAGTATCTAGGAGGCTTTGGAACCCACTTTTCAGATGGGAAAGGGAGGCCTGAGTGGAAGAAGTTCCACACCCCAGTAAGACAACATGGTGTGCAGAGAAAAGAGCACCGGGGTCTCGGGATTTCCCAGCTGTGCTTGTGGCCCCAGCTCCGTGGTGCTGCAGATGAGGAAACCGAGGCTCGGAAACACGTGACTGCTCCAGGGCCCTGAGAGACAGAGCCAGGGTGGGGATGGGGGTGTGTTGGGCTCTGTGCAGGGGCCCCTTCTCCCCAGCAGGGAGGGGCTCTGCTGCTCTGTCCCAGAGGAGCTGGTGTCCTGGGCCTGAGTCCCCTGTGCTGAGCTGGGGAGGCCCAGCCTGGAGAAGGAGCCTGTGTTTTGGGAGCCGGGGGGAGGCGCCTGTGTTTCCCTGAGGCTTGTACAGGGCTGAGTCCCAGGCGCTGGCTGAGCGGGTCTTGGGGGAAGTTGGAGGCTCCCTGCCTGCAGCAGGTCACCAGGGCGGACAGCCCGGTGGTCTGGGGAGGAGCGAGTGCCTCTGTCTGGGTGGGAAGGTGGTCTCTCTGAGGAGCCTTCCTGAAACACTCCCACCTAGCGTTAGTGTCCTAGGTGCCCAGGGACAACACAGGGGTCAGAGTATGGAAGCACCAGCTTAGTACTGTGTCCCTGTGTGGTACCTGTGTCCCCTGGTGCTAAGAGGACAACTTGCAGCCCGGCTGGCTGGTGCTGCGGGCTGCTGACCTGCTGCTGGTCCCTTGGCTCCCTGAGGCAGTGTCCTCAGCTCTCCTTCCCCAGTGTGCCCAGCCCTAGGCCATGCTCACAATGTCCTGAGGCTTACCTGGGGCCATCTGGAAGGAGAGGAAGCAGAGGGTGAGCAGCAGCAGGCAGTGGGTCCCCATGGCAGCCAGCAGCTGGGCTCTGATGCTGGAGAGGACGAGAGGCTCCCTTGGGAGCTGGGCCTGAGGAGGCTTCTCAAGGAGGGTGAGGCTGTATTTATGGGATGCAGGGTTGCACAACCCTATCGCCGGGCTAAAGGGAGGTGTGGCAATCCAGAGTGAAGGTATAATAACTAGCCCTCCTGTCATTTGCCCTGAATAGACTCCAGGTCATGTGGCAGGTGGCCTCTGCCTGGCTGTGGCTGGATCTTCCTCTCCGTCTGGGACCCCATTGGCTTCTCAGCCAGGCCTCTCTGTGTTCCAGGATCTGTGGGTTGGAGAGGCTGCGGGCAGGCCCCTCAAGCTCGAATCCCTCCCGCTGCTGGGTGCAGGCTGGGTCAGTCCCTGCGATTAAGCGTGTCCCCGAAGACTAGCTCCAGATGCCCCCTTGCCCATGGAGGAGAGTTCTTCCCAGGCTGCTTCCTCATCTCTGCTCTGTAGGACTTTCACCTGGAGGGGCCAACAGTGCTTCTTCATCTGATTAGACACAGGATCGCGATGTTTTCTATCCTGACCCTCAGAGCCTGATTTCCCTGTTAACGCTAGAGGGCAGCTAGGTGACCCCAGGCAGCAGCCCTGTCCAGCTAGAGTCTGGTGTCAGCCAGTCTCTCAGGATCCTCTGGGTCCACTAATTCTAAATCTTGTAAAAATATTTTATTTGTCATTGGCCACTGCAATGCTGTGCGCCCCTTCCCTGTGTCTGAATAAGGAGTTCAACTTGAAGCATCAGAGGGAGGCTATGGTCGATTAGTGAGGGAGAAGTCTATGAAGTAGCCCACAGAGACCCAGACGGGGCTCAGAACTCAGCTCAGACTCAGATTTGGGGACCAGTGTCTGCCCCAGGCCCCAGAGTTGGTCTGCTGGGGACCCTGGGCTTCACCCACAGTGCACACAGCAGTGACACAGGTTTAATTCAGCCACTACCCCTGCCAGCAGTGCCATCTGCACCAGTCGTGGACCTCAGGCACCTTCCCTGCAGGAGAGAGGGAGAGAGAGAGAGAGAGGGAG